AGGTCTGAGTGGCAATGAAATGTAGTGGAAGAAGGCAGGTTTGGAAGGCTGAAGAACTGGCACATACAGTAGGCATTTAATAAATGCTTGCTGGATTAGATTGGATTTGATTCCCAGTTTGACTGTTAGATACTTTGGGAGCGTAGACAAGTCACTTACCTTCGGGCTCTAGTTTCTGTAAAATAAAGGGGTTGGAGTAGCTGTGCACTATGGTCCTTTGCCAGCTCTAAATTCTATGATCTTCACAGCTCTGATATTGTATGTTCTGACATTGCTTTCAGCTCTGATACCATATGCTTTAAGGTCCCTTCCTTGCATTCTGTGTTCTAGGGTCCCTTGTAGCTCTGGCATTCTGCGTTCTAGGATCCCTTCCAGTCCTGATGTTGTATATTCTAGAATCCCTGCCAACTCTGACATTTTATGTTCTAAGAACCTCTCAGTTCTGACATTCCATGTTCTAAGGTCCTTCTCAGTTCTGATATTCTGTGTTCTAAGGTCCCTTCCAGTTCTGCTATGTGTAAGGGAAACAACAACAGTAACAACCATGAAAAAAAAAATAACCCAAACCGTTGGTCACCCCCAAGAAGCTTGTACCTATTGGAGTAACCCAGAGCCATGAGCCAAACCCAGACCACTTGCCTCTAAGTTGAGGGCATTCTGGCTGCCTCTGCTGTCTTTCTTCAAGGCTCTATGAAGGACAGCAAGGGAAGAGGGATGCCCAGGACTGCCCCAGAACCAGCCTGTAGACCCCATGGGGGTAGCAGTCCAGCCATGCCCTCAGAAGGTGTCTCTGTTCACCTTGATGGGCCAGGCATCCCACTTAGAGCGTCCAGTCAATACCACGTACTTCTCCCAGGCCCACCAGGCTCAATTCAAATTCTCTGGACCTCAGAGGTAGTTGGTATGCACCACTGCACGCTCAGATTGCAAGCATCCCCGCCTGCTCCTGTGTGTCCGAAGTTATTTTCTACATAAAAATTCTGCTAAATTGTAAGTTAGAAGGCACTCCTGGAATTCTCCCAGGTCTTTAGAAAGCTTTCAGATGCACCACAAGACATAAACATGTAATGCATATGGGCTGAGCTTTCTTTCCTCTACCTATACCAAATGGCAATTTACATTTTCTAAACACATGAGTTATAACTATTTCCCCAGTCTGATGACAATTATTTCTAAGAAACCTCTGACAGGCTAGAAACTCTCAACATCACAGCTGTTATTCAGAACTTGATCTCACTTCTTAAATTAAAACCACTTGCTGGATCAGCAAATGAGAACTTTTCCTCTGGAAAGACCATCAGAAATGCATGTAAATCAGCCTCACTCATTTTAAGAATGACATAGCTTGAGGGGATGATGTTAGCATTAGGTGGCACCATGGATAGATCGAGGGGACTGAGGTCAGGAAAACGGGGAGTTCAAATCCAGCCACAGACACTTGCTAGCTCAGGGACCCTGGGGAAATCATTTTAACTTCTGACTGCCTCAGTTTCTTCATCTGTAAAATGAGGATGATAATAGCACCTACCTCTCAGAGTTGTGAGAATTAAATCATATTTAAGGCTTTGCAAGCCTTAAAGTGCTGTATAAATGCTGGCTGTTATTATTATTTTTATTTACTTGTAAGTGAATTTCAGTGAGTTGAAGAGGGGGAAGGGTGAGGATCCAGCCTGAGAAAAGTGGTCACTTTTACATCGAGCCATCCCTGTTGAAGTTTGCAGAAAATAAACTCCAGCCACTCAGAGTCAATGTAATTTAATTTTGCATCAACATTTATCACTGATTGGTTGTACTTTAAAGTCCTCAAAGAGCCTTCCAGATGGCATCTTTCTAGATCTTTACAACCCTTCACCAAAGGCACAATTACTGACTATTATTTTACAGATGAGGAAACTGAGGTTCAGAGTGGTTGTGTCTTGCCCATGGCCACACAGCAAGTAGGTGAAATGAGTTTGGATTTAAACCCAGGTCCCTTCTAACACTAACATTTTATAATTCTGTGGCTCAGTTTCTGTTTTCATTCCCAACACATTTGCTTTCAAATAACAGTACAGTTATTTGTACTGGGCTCTATCTCTTTCTTTTCTTTCTTTCTTTCTTTCTTTCTTTCTTTCTTTCTTTCTTTCTTTCTTTCTTTCTTTCTTTCTTTCTTTCTTTATTTCTCTCTTTCTCTCTTTCTTTCTTTCCCTTCCTTCCTTCCTTCCTTCCTTTCTATTTTTGGAGGCAATGAGAGTTAAATGACTTGCCCAGGGTCACACAGTTAGTAAGTATCTGAAGCCGAATTTGAACTAAGGTCCTCCTGAGCCAGCACACTATCCACTGTGCCAGCTAGCTGCCCAAATAGTGAACTTTATATTTGAATTTGGACTTTACGTTTGACTTTATATATTGAGTTTGGAGATAATAGGTCATTTATGGAGGTGAGATCCTTTTCAAAGCTCTTGGGCATATAAATCTCTGATTTCAATCATCACACCACCTTCTAAGTTCATAGAAAACATGGATTATTATATCCATTTTTCAGATAGAAATCTGAGGCATAGAGAATACAAGTAATTTGTCTAAGGCCACCAAGACAGTAGCAGCTATGATCCCAGGGAGACCCACAGTGAAGTTTCAGAGAAGCCCAGAGGGAGAAGGCAGCTCAGTGGGTATTCGGCCCAACCTGGACCTGAAAAAGATTCCCTTGATGTAAACCCAATGTTTCTCATGGCTGCCCATTATCCTTCTGCATAGCTTTGATTATCTCGATTGTTTCCTTGCATCAACCTAAAGCCACCTCTCTGCATCCTGCCCCCCATTGCTCCATGGTCCTAGAGAAGGTCAAGTGGAACATGTTCAATTCTCCATGATAACCTTTCAAATACTTCATAATTACTCTCCTGTCCCCTCTCTTCTTCAACCATACATCCAACAGAAATTCAAATCATAAAATTCTCAATATACATGCAGAAGTGTGCTGGAGCTAGCTCAGACCAAACGGTTATCCAGCCTCCCTATAGGAACCCAACTGTCTCCCATGGTTGCCCATTCCCCTTTGTTGTTAAATGAAAGCTGGTTATTAAATGAGCTCTGGTTGTTAAATTTTGGGTGGGAGAATTTATACTTTAGAAATTGGCAAACTGAGGGGCAGCTAGTTGGCGCAGTGGATAGAGCACTGGCCCTGGAGCCAGGAGGACTTGAGTTCAAATCCAGCCTCAGACACATAACACTCACTAACTGTGTGACCCTAGGCAAGTCACTTAACCCCATTGCCTAGCCAAAAAAAAAAAAAAAAAAGAAAAGAAAGAAAGAAATTGGCAAACTGCAGGTCAGGGTTAGATTTGTTGTTTTGTTGTTTTCCAGACTTAAGAAAGTGTTAATAATGGAGATTAAACTTAAAAGTGTGTCCTGCCTATTTTTTCCAGAGGGGGAGAGGAAGTCAACTGTTAAACATTTATTAACACACCCTTTGATGCACTGCACTTAGAAACCATCTGCTCCCATGTCTTCACTGTATAGGAGAGAAAAATCTAGACCCAGAAAAATGAACTGACTTAACCCAACAAAGGGTCAGTAGCAGAGTCAGGACTACAACCTAAATTTTGATTCCCTCCCGAGTGCCTTTCAGTAGCAGCAGAACTAAAATTTTCCTTTTCTCAACAACTATGTTCTTGGTCAAAAGAAAAAGTACAATGGAATTCTCATAAGTTGGCATCAAAGTCTGTAAAAACCCCAGTCCAGCAAGAGCTTTTGAAAAATGTGAAAGTTTGTTAGGTTCACAATTCATGAAGGACCCACAGGAGCTCTCTGAAAAGACCATGCTGGCATGGTCCTTCAATGCGGTCATTTTGGCTCCCCAGTCTCTTGTCCTTGAAACTCTGTGATCCTCCATTTTTGGACAAATCCAAACGAAAAGACATTAGAAGAGCAGGAAAAAGACAAGTAAGACTATGCGTTGCTTCCAGTTCTAATAACTACATTAAGAATAATAATAGTAACAACAACAGCAATAATAATAGTAGTAGTAGTATTATCTATACCCTCCATGACATTTCACATCCAACAAACAAACATTTATTAAGCACCGACTGTATGTTAGGTACTTGTCTGCAAACTCCTGGTTTAGGGGAGAATACCATTCATTCATTCACTGTATATATAATTATGACACCCCTACTACATGCAGTTAGCCCGGTTCTGCAGAAGCTAATGATCTAGGATGATGCTTACCTTTCCAGTCCCAACTCTGTTATCAATACTATTTCAACCCAGCTCCGCAGCTTGGTTCAGGGACCACTGCATCAAACCAAACTCTGGAATGTGACCTAAAGTATACTTCAAATCTTTTGAGGCTCACCCAAACCATCAAGGTCCCACCAAACTGGAGGTACCCATGGGCAGACTGGAAACATATGTCTAAGTCAGGCCGCAGATCTCTGGATCTTCAAAGGGCTGGGTAGGAAAGTTCACCAAGGTGTCTTTCTGGTGTCACTGATCTTAGTTTGGGGTTTTCTGTTCACACTCCATAAATCTCAAAAAGAGAAAGGTCAACTGATACACACCTTCTAGAACAATCTTCATTGAAAAAGTAGTAGCCAAGTAAATTGTGAAGACTTTGGAGTAGCAGCTACTGTAGGAAAGGGAATACGGCGACCTTTCCACCAAGTCATTCAACAGATTGGGTGGGGGAGTCTATCACCTCTGTCTTGCAGGAGCCCCCATCTGCCTCTTCCACTCACCAAAGCCTAAACCCACTCACCCCGACAGGGCCCCCATCGTGCTGATCTCGCCACATAAACTCGTTTCCTTCACAAATCAAAACAATGGCCTCCGTGTTCTCCAGCAGCAGCCCCATGTAGTTTATTAAAAGATACGGTAGTAACTACAGTTCCTCTTTGCCCTATAAAGTAGAGCCCAGGCTCATCCAAACCACCAGAGTCTGGGACTCAAGCTTCTCATAGCTGAGCTAATGAAGGGTAGAGTGGGGGAAGGGAGAATATGTTCAAATTAACACTTACCAAGGAGCCCCGTATATTCTGAACCCTTTCACTGTTACCTCCGAATCTTGCAAGTAAATACTGTTTGTCAGGAGCGACTGAACATTGTCAAAGTCCTCTGGTTTCAATTTGGACACTGAAGGAAAACGGTAGTAGTCTTGTTTAACAAGGTCAGCCATGAATTCCTTGTCAAATGTCAGTTCATGATTCCCAGCAATCACTATTTTATATTCATATGGCAGGCTTCCTGAAATCCGAGAGAGAGAAAAAAAAGATAGAGCACTTAATTAGCACATTTGCCGGCCATCAAGACATACAATAGTAGAGCTGGGGGCAATCAGCAAACAGCTCAACCAGCTGAAAGAATGAAATGCACAAGCTAATCTACCTTTCCATGGAAATTCAAACATATCTCTAACAAAATGGAGACCCGACAGCAAGTAAAAAACCTTGAGGAACCCCCAAAAAAGCAACAAAAAGGTCTTTGTTTTAATTCTAGCTCCCCTTTCTGATCTTTACAAAAACAGCTTCTAAATGAAGCAGTGTGCATGGTGGAAAAGAGGGCTCTAAGTCGGGGGACCTGGGTTAGAACCCTGTTCCTGCCACTCAAATAGCTGAATAATTTTGGTTAAATTATTTGCCCTCTCTGGGCCTCAGTTTCTTCCTCTGTGAAAGGAAAGGGTTGAAAAAGAGGATCTTTAAGGTCCCTATCCATTGTCTGATAAAAGCCATCAGAGACTCCCAATTTTCTCTATGGTGAAGGGGGGAGGGGCAGTGTTTCTTTAAAAATAAATCTCCTGAAGACTTATATGAACTGAAACAACATAAAGTAAGCAAAAACAAAGAAACAATATACATAACAACAATAATATTAATGGAAAGAAGAAAAAAAGAAATCTTGAAACTGAACTGTGTAAATATCTCAAACTTGACCCCAGAAAAAAAGTTGAGAAAAGGGTACTTTCTTTTTTTTTTTTTTTTTTTTTACAGGGTTGTGGGATTACAGATAAGGTCAGACATGCGTGAAGTGCGGGCTAGTTTTATTGAACAATTATTTTTCACTTTCATTTTCTCCTTTTTTTATACATTTTTATTGATATCTTTGTTTTTTGCATCTTCTATAATTCTCATCCCACCCCCATCACTCTCCTTCCTCCTCCCGATGGAGTCATCCCTTATAACAAAGAAATTTTTAAGGAGTAAGAAGGAAAAAAAAATCAACAAAATCAATCAACATATCAAAATCCTCTTTCTTTTTAAAATATTTGTTACAAAGGATGAAAGGAGGTTCCTGACATAGGTGAGTAAAGAGAAGTATATTTGTAAATAGCACAGTGTCTGCATAGACTAAGTGTTTAATAAATACTTGTTGATTCCACTTGAAATGGAGATATAAAAATAAGGTGCCCATAAAAATAAGATTATAAAAAATACTCCCCCCCACCCAGTTATCCACAACAGTTCAGGTAACAGGTAGAATGGTCCATTTCAGTAGATACTTCATATAGCATGGGCAAAACAACCCAGTGCTCTATGAATTTTCTTTTGTTATATTTGGTTTACTTCACTAAGTATTACCATATTACGGGAAAGAACAATGTTTTGTTTACCTTTTGGCTTGTGAATGAAAAGAACATTATTACAGGGCCCTGATTAGAAGCTAACTTTTCTCCTCCCACTGGGGCCTGAAAGAGAAACTGTAATACTTAACCCCTTTTTAATATTTATGGAATGGAAATTGGAGCTCTGTGTATGATTTTTATGCAAAGTTTCCTGATCAAAATGAGATAATTCTGGGCAGAAGAATGAGAGCTATAAAGGAAAACCCCAACACTAGACCTCAGCCTAGATTTATAATGTTTGAACAAAATACCCATCATACATATTAATAACCTGCTATGGTGCTACAGGAAAGAAAAACCTGAGAGAAGGTGCTAGGATATTCGTCACTCTTCTGAAACCAAGACCCTTCTCCCTCCTGCAGCACCAGTCCTGTCCCCATATCTCTCAGCAGACTCGCTCTGCCATTAGTTTTATTTTAATTTTTTTTAAACAGAGTTGGTGCCTACAATTCCTGCTTCCCAAGACTCCTGGGCCCAATGCAAAATTAATGTTTCCTGCTATTTCAGGAAGTATTAAAATTACCACAAGCAGGAAATTGGATCTACTTCTTCTTATACAGTCCCGGCGAGCCAGCCAGAAATCCACGATTTAACTAACGAAGCTCAACGTGGAAGTGAAAATGAGTTTTTTGGCCAAGTTTTGTTAGCAGCAAACTCAGATTTCAGGGGTGGGAACTGCACAAAGCACACGGTCAATGACCAAGTGTCCCATTTCCTCACCATTCCAGCCATGCATGGCAAAATGATCGGCTCATGCTGAAGTGATTGTTGAGCTATCAGATTAACTCCGCAAATGTTAGTGATTTTCTTTAGGTTTTTCTTGTTTTTTTGTTTAGTTATTTTGTGGGGGAGGGGGATAGGGGCTGTTGTTTGTCTCAAAAGTAAGGAAAAGAGTGAAATTACACGATGGTGGTAAAAGGAAGACAGAGAGCTGGGAGGAATTTCTCAGAAAGTCATTCAGCAAACAGAGTGGGGAAAAAAGAAAGAAAAAATATCTTAGGAGGCAGTGATCATTCTGCATCACAAAAACAGTGGAGGAAATTAAATGGGCATGAACACAATAATGCAAATGAGAAAAATATTAGAAGAAATTTGAACTCCGGGTAATTAGAATGCTCAGTCTTGCTTCAGGAGAACAGACGATGAATGAGCTCTCTCTCTACTCAGCAAAGAGGTGCAGAATTATGGGGGCTGCATGTAGTATATACAAGCAGCAAGTCTACAAATTATTTTTGGTTTGATTTTGCTTAATTGTTTTTCTCTGTTACAGTGGAGGGTGGTGGTTGTTAGGTTAGTTGCTTGGGGTTACTATCAGGAAAGAACTGTGACATTAAAATAACAGGTTATCAATAAACCTTATTTATTTATTTATTGCCAGCCCAGACTTGTGGTTTCCCCATGTATGGAACCCCACCCCCCTTTGGAAATTCCCTGTAATAATGCAGATCTGGAATTCAACTATAACTTACAGGCTCAGTGAATTGCCCAGAGACACTGAAAGGTTAAATGTCATACAGCTAGTATTTGTCAGAAGCAACACTTTAACTCAGGTTTTCTTGATTCCAAAGCCAGACAATATTCTAAATAGGATTTATTCGAAAAAAAAAAAAAGATTTAATGGGCAATTTTTTTTTTTTTTGCTACTAATTAGTCAACCAACAAACATTTCCTAAGCACCTACTATGTGCCTGGCACTGTGTGGAACACACAGGGTACAAAGACCAGCCCATTTCCTTGGCAAGTAGCTACTTTCAACAACCCACACATAGCACAAAGGAAAGAAAAAGTCAAGCTGAGAATTGGCTATACATTTGGGCCGACAACCAGCCGAGCAATTTAAGCAAATCTTACTAGCTTACGGCAATAAGAAGAGTTATAGAATGACGAAGACATCCCACTTTTTTTTTTCATTGTGCTCACAGGGCAGATGAAGGATGTGTTGCAAAGTAATCAAATGGGGCTACAAATTCCCAGCCTACACAACGAGGCTGTGCAACACACCAGAGCCCCAAGCTCAGGGACATTGGTTGGCTGCTATCCATTAAGAGGAGCCATTTACCTACTCCCTCTCTGCACCAAAGGCATGCCATAGTGCCTTGTAGATCATGCTGAAGAGAACATTAGCTTGGATTGCAATCAGTTACAAGAAGGGCCCTGTTTTCTTGCAATCCTTGACTGACCGCTTTTATAAATCATGCCGAACATGCTTCATTTCTCTTTAATCATTCATGGGGATGGACTGTCTGTAACATGCTTTCATGACCATGTACCACAGCCCTCACTTTCACATTTTTTTAAAGGTTCTCCTACCCTTTTTAAAGGATGTTTCAGGGAGGTTGGACAAGGATTGAAGTATTGGAAAGAAAAAGATTTTTTTTTCAAGCCAACTCAAAAATGGAAGGCTGACAATAACTAACAATCCCCATTTGGAAAGCACAATAATTAAACTGACATTTAAACAGAACTTTAACATTTTCAGATTGCTTTCCCTACATTATCTCACTTGAGCCACACTATAACCCTGTGAAGCATCGACCACAGGTACTATTACTGGCATTTTGCAGATGAAAAAACCTTAAACTCAGACATCAAGTGACTTTCCCAGGGTCACACTGCCAGGAAGAATCACAGAGGTCTACAACATTATCTCCCAAGCCTCAGAGGATTAAAGAAGGGAAATGTGATTTCCCAAGTTCTCTTTTTCTTCTAAATCTGCTTTTGGGCAAGTCGGATGAATAAGAAACCACCAAAAATATCTGCCTCCAAACACATGAATGTAAAGTCTTTGAAGGCAGAAACTGATTTGTTCCCATCTCTTCATCTGTAGCAACTGGAAGAGTACAGTACACAGTAGGCCTTCATTAAATATTTGTTGGATTACATCAGATTAGAAACTGGAGAGGTTATCTGCACAACACGGATAGGCTCCTTCTCTTTCAGAGATGCCGAAACCAGCTCTGATGTCCTTCCTCTGTCATCCAAGTTATGAAGTAGTCTGACGTGTTTTTGCCATGATGACCTTTCATCTATAATCTGCCAACTTTTATGTTAATAAAGTGGAGACAGACCAACTCACAAATATCCAGTGGCTAGATAATATTTTATCTGTTTTCCTCTGGTCTCTAGACAAGATTAAGCAGGGTTGGGGAGGAAGGTACGTTGTTAAACCATAAATATACTAATATATAAATGCCATGTTACTGTTTTTTTGAATGGCCAGGTCAAAAAGAATTATAGGATCAAAAATTTAGAGCTGGAAGGGACCTTAGATGTCATCAAGAATTTAATAAGTTAACATATATACAAAGTACTTTGCAATCATAAAATGCTATTAATATTATGATTACCACCATACAGATGAGGAAACTGAGGCCCAGAGAGGCTAAATAATTTGCCAAGGATAACAAAAGTAATGAGTGACTGAGGCAGCATTTAAATCCAGGTCTATGCCTTCCCTCAGCCCCTAGATTTTCAGATCTTCCTTTACAGTATTCTATACCACACCAACCTGCCTCTATTTTATTTAGTCTGGGACATCTAAAGCGATTGGCTGCAATTTTTGAAAAAAGATCCAAAACGTAGGGCCTGGGTTAGTTATTCTAACTGGGACAGCAGGATGGAAAACTGAGGTGAACTGTGACTCTGAGGGCCAAAGGAAAACACATCCCAAGGTTATGTTAGGGTGGCCCTTTGCGAATAGTTTATATCAGGCAGGATATTCCAGGAACTCAGCCCGGCATTTTATGAAAGCGGGACTGCAGAGCAAGGTCTTAAAGAGATGCATTTTACCAGCGATGGCAAAAGGATGATTATGGAAACACATCCATAAACCTAGACAAAACAATACTCCGATTGTGTCATCCTCCCCCCTTCTCTATCACCTCTCAACCTCTACCCACCCAAGAAGTTAGCTGTTGGTCCAGAGAGAGAAAGCTGGCTGTTTAATAATTTGGACCTTTTTTTATTATTCTCCAAGAAAATCCCCTGAAAAGTAAAATAACATAACCTCAGTCTTCAAAATGCAGAAAGGTGATGCAAAACGAGACCATTGTGCCAAAAAGAAACACTCTAAGAGCATTAGAAAACCTGATTCCTAGTCTGGGAAGGAGTCAACACAGGTTTCAAGCCAGTAAGACCTTCATTCTGACACAGGCCCAGAACTTCAAGCAATGTTCTTCAGCTGGCACACACCTCATAGAGGTTTGGTCATTTAAATGAACTGCTTAGATATTGCATTTAGGTCACAATTCCTGTAGTAAGACCAGTCCCAGCTTAAATGGCACCTCCTCCAGGAGGCCTCCCCGGATCCATTTATATAGCCTTCCTTATACCACAGCCTAGTGGGGTAGGATCTGTTCTAGAAAATTTGTTGGGCTCACTTCAGCGGCACATATACTAAAACTGGGATGATAGAGAGAAGATTAGTATGGCCCCTGAGCAAGAATGACATGCAAATTCATGACGTGTTCCATAATTTTTGTCGAAAACTACCTTTACATGTAATTGAACAAAATAAAATACTATTGAGTGCAAAAATAAAAAGAAATATTTACTGAGGGCTTTAAGTAGAGTATATGCTGATTACACTTAATTTCCTAAGATGTCATAATTAGAATGGGGGGGTCATGTAATCATAGGATCACAAATTTAAAGCTAGAAGATAACCTTCGAAGTTATTTAGTTCAATCCCCCCCCCCCCCATTTTATAGCTGAGGAAACTGAGGGCTGGAAAGGTTAAGTGAGTTGACCACAAAGTCATACAAGTTACTATCAGAATTTGAACTCGGGGCCTCTGACTCCAAAGCCCCCCACCCTACCCCATTTTTAGAGATAAGGATACTGAGGCTCAGAGAGATCTGAGTCACACTGGTAGTAACTGGCAAAGCCATCATTTGAACCTAGATCCTCTGACTTAGATTCTTTATACTGTATGAGAAAAAAAAAAAAGGTTTTGTTTTGAAATGTATACAAATATAGATGGCATCATGTGACCATAGGAACAAAATTTCATTAAGTGTTAGAACCACACTGGAATCCAGATGTCCTGAAACTGTTGGGAAAGGGGGCAGGTGGAGGTTAAGTGACCTGCCTGGGTCACTCAGTTAGTAATTATCAGCATGAGGCAGGACCCCAGCCCAGGCAATCTTGACTCCAATTTCAGCCTTCTGTCTAATATACTATGCTGACCCTTTAGGACAAACGTCGCTTTAGCATCATAGGTGTAGGGCCAGAAGGGAATTTGGCATTCACGTGGTCCAAAGCTCCTCGTTTTACAGATGAGGAAACTGAGGCCCACCAAGGGAGAGTGACCAGGTTTCCTGACTCTAAATCCAGCGCCCTCCCATGTTTCACAGGAAACTAACCTTGAGGAGCCCAGGGTGATAGGGCCAAGTCTAGCTATCAAACCAACGTCTGGTGTCACTCTCACATTGTTTGCTTCTAGAAAGCTGCTGCTCCCATTGGTATTTGTGGACAGACAGGCCTCCCCTTTCACTTCCCATTTAGCCATCCGGATGGACTCTCTGTTTTCGGATGACCCCTGTGGATGCTGGGAGCTGCGGCCTTCAGACCCTACTGCCCACACCTGTGACTGGCAATCTCCCAAGCGCAGCTCACACACAGTGACTGTAGACTCCCAATTCATTCTGCAGAAACAAAGATTAAAGCCCTAGGGTCCAGTAATCACTGCAGAGGAATGAGAGGCTCCAAATGCAAACAGGAGGGAATGGAAGGAAAACTCCACTCGGGCTCTGCCAGTGGGAGGAAACCTTCCACTTTTATTAGGGTGACGGATTTTGAGATTTCCCCTCCTCCTTGAATCATAAAATGAGAAAGGAAACCAAGGAAACCAAGTGGGTCAATGACCCTGCACTTCTGGCTAACAACTCCCTCCCCAGGCTCCAATAAAACACCACAAGCGATGATCGGCCACTCAAGGAAGACTGGGAAATGTCTCACGTGGGACTAAGGACGCAAAGGCAGGGTCCCTAACCTTCAGGCTCAACACCTTGTGTCAGTACTTCAGGGAAAAAATATTCATGGTATAAAAATAATTCATAAAGAAAATGTACTAGAATCATCCTCTAATGCAATTTATTCTTACTCAGATCAGACATGCTAAGATCAAATCACAACCACCCAAATGGGATGCCTCCAGTGACATAGTGATAATAGCTACCATTAATAGAGCCTTCAAGGCTTGCAGATCACTTGACATGTACGTCTCATCTGATATACACAATAACCCTATGGGGTGGATTCTATCACTACCCCCATTTTCCAGATAAAGAAACCAAGGCTCAGAGAGCATAAGTGACTTAATTCAGACACTCAAACAACCAGCAAGTGTCTGAGGCAGGACTCTTCCTGACTTCAACTTCACTACAACATGTTGCTTCTCAGTTGGTAGGCTATCATAAACGAGCTTATGTTGTAGGAGATGAGTGTCTATAGGAAAAAGAAAGCTGGACATAGAGTCCAGGAAGACCTAAGTTCAAATCCCACCTCTGAAATCTGCTGGCTCTGAGCAGATCATTCTCTGAGCCTCAGTTTCCTCCTTGGTTAAGTGGAGATGATAACCCATCTATCTCAGAGAATTGTTTCATCGATGGTATACCAGATGTAAAGCCCTCTGCAAGCCTGAAAATTCTCTATCAGCATGAACTATGATTATTCTTACAGCTAAGGGTAAATTAGATGTGAAATTGGCTTCTGTAGCCTGCTAGCTGTGTCATTATGGGACCGTGCTCGAGACTCAGCTGCTTCCTCTGGAAAATGGGGACAAAATTGCCTGTCATGCTTATCTCATAGGACTCCAATTAGACAACGAATGTGAAACACCTTGCCAACTGTCTATACTGTTCCCTATTAGAAAACACATTCTTTGAGGGCAGGGACCATTTCCTCTTTGTCTATATTCCCAGCATTTTTATAGCACAGCACATGGCACACAGAAGGTACTTAATAAATGCTTACTGATCGTTTGATTCTCTCAACATCTGTATGATTCCTATAGTCAACTACTATTATCATTCCCCTTATACCCGTGCGGGGAAACAGGTTCCACTCTGCCTCTGGGTAGGAGAAGGAATGACGTAGTGGGTATCATGCTGGACCATGAGTCAGAAAGATTTGAGTTCAAATCTAGCCTTACACACCTGCTAGCTGTGTGACCCTGGGCAAACCATTTAACCACTGTCTGCCTCGCTTTCTTCCTCCAGAAAATAGGGATAATAATAGTACCTATCTGCCAGGGTTGTTGTGAGAGTCAAATGTGATAATATTTATAAAGTGCTATATAAATGCTAACTCTTTATCACCTGAGCTATTACATAATAATAAAGGGGCAGTCAGCAGAGATCTGGGTCCTGGCTGGGTTACCATAGTCAAGCCATTTGTCTCTTCTGAATTTCTTCATCTGAATAATGGGGATAAAAATTTCTGCAAATATATCTCTCATAGGGTTACTGTGAGGCAAGTGCTTTGTGAATCTTAGCACGCTGTAGAGATAGGAGTTCTTTCTTTTTAGTTTTTAGAGAAAGGTCGTGGCTACGGCAAGGACAAAGAGGATGCTTACATTCTTGAGTTCCCTTCACTGTTCAATTCTACCAAATGTGGAATAAGAATAAATTGGCCTTACACTGTACTAGCAGAAAATTAAGCTAGAAATCAAAGGGAAGGAAAACTGTGAGCCATAGGTAACAGAGGGCAGTTATCCCTCCTCCGAGAGCCTTGAGAACCCAGATCAATATTTTCTGGGGAGGGCTAAGTGAATTGGTTTGGTCTGGCCTGCAGACAGGGAGGGGAGCCTCTGGAAATCCCTTCCGGCTTCCCCACCAGCGAGCCAGAGCTGCAGACCCACCAGAAACATTCCATCAGGAGAAGCTCCATTGCTAACCTTCCACTCTGTCCCCGTCAGGCTCCATTAGTTTTCACAAGGCCTGACAGCTCTAACGTTATACTCACACTTGCTGATCGAGCCACACAGTAGGTTCAGACTGCTACCTTCTCCTCTGAAACTCATGCATTAGGGTTTCTTCCATGCTTGCAATGGGAAACCAAGTCTAAGAAATATTAAACACAGAAAACTCTATTACAATAATGTCAGGGCTGAGCCAGAAATCCAGGAAAAAAGCAAGGAAGTGCTGAGTGAGGGGGCCTGCTGGGAAACTCGCAGAAATCTGGGTTTGTGACAGGAGGAAACAGCAGCTAGGATGCTCCCTCCTCTTCCTGCTCCCCGGCAGGGTCCCACAGCACTAGGAGATGTTAGATGCCTTGGTCCACAACAGTTTCGATCAAATTCAAAGCTCCCACCAAAGCCACCCTCTTCCCATCCTCAGTTCACTCGAATGAAATGCGCTAATGGCGTCTAACATCGTCACTGTGAGATGTAGGACCCAAGGGAGAGACCCATAGGTAGCATGATACCTAGAGACAATGAAGGTGCTTTGGGAGCACAGACCTTTCTCAGCATCTCCTTGCTTATTGGCATTTGTGTCTCAACCAGAACATTATTTTAACATAGGTTTGGGGGTTTCAAAGGAAATGAGGTAGCACAATTAGCAGCATCCTTGATTGTTTTCTGTTGGAGTGTTTCTAAAGACCTTCCCAGACACAAATTCTTCCTGACCCAGAAAATTTTTATCTAGAAGTTGTTGTGACAACTGACTTATAGAACCTTGCACTCCTGCTTTGTTGACTCATTACAGGCTGAGCCAGACCTTGAGTCCCATTTCCCAAAGCAGATTTTTGCCGTTTGCTTTCTGCATGGGGTCTCAGAAAGAGGCCAGAGCTTACAAAGGCAGGTCATGGTGAATGGAGATATTCTAAGTCACTGCAATCAATTTGGTCCCAACAATCAAAATGTCAAGCCAGATCCTAGCTAGGATGTGAATGAACAGATAAATGCAAAGAGTCATTAAAGATATAGCCAAGCTATATTTCTGTCTTTTGTGGTTATGATGAATAATAATAACTAACATTTTTATAGCAGTTAAAGGTTTCCAAAGTACTCCACAAATATCTCATTTGATCCTCACTGCAAGCCTGGGAGATAGTTGCTATTATTATCCTCATTTACAGATGAGGCAGATAGGTTAGTGACTTGCCTAACACTTGCCCAAGTAAGTGTCTGAGCTAAGATTTGAACTCAGATCTTCCTGATTCTAGGTCCAATGCTCCGTCCACTGGACCACCTAGCTGCCTAGATCATGCTGCTTGAGTTTAACTGATGATATGTTTTGTTTCCCTTTACATTATAAATTAGAACACTTTTTTTGTCCTAAGATCACATTTATATTACAAATTAATCCAGGCTGCAGAAGACATCTCTAAACTCCTAACTCCATGGAAGGTTGGGAATAGTAGCCCAATAAATATTACTAACAGACTGGCAATTCTGGACTGACAAGGTCTAGGATGTGATGGAGAAGGATATGCTCTTCTCCCCACCCCTCCCTCTACCCACTAAGCCTTTAAA